CCGCTCTCTCTCTCTCTCTCTCTCTCTCTCTCTCTCTCTCTCTCCTCTCTCCTCTCTCTTCATCCCATCGTCTTTCTCTTCTTTCTCCCCTCTGTCTACTACTCTTCCTGCCTCTTTCCACCCCCAACCCCTACCCCAGAGTTTATTTCTATAGTAACCCGGGTGGAGAAACTAGTTGCCTCAGTTAAAAACTCCACTGGAAAACCCCTTCGGCCTTGACGTCCAACATACTACATACCCCTCAAATCGTCTTCACGAACCCCAATCCCGGAGCTCTCTATTGCAACAACGCCGCCGCCCAGGGAAAGGGAGCAAGAGCCCAGAAAGACCTATTGATCACTGTCGATACAGTACGATGCTCAAAGCAGGAAAAAGGGTTTGCGAGCAAAAAAGCAGGTGCAAACCCTGCAGGGCTCATATTCTTTGCTTTAGGAGACCCTACTAGTGCCCTGGGACGGCAGTTTACAGATCCACCCCCTCCTCCCAGCTACACACAAACACACACGCGTACTGCTGTCCTTAAAACCATCCCGTTTGGATAGTGAAGGGGTGGGAACCAGAAGAAGGCGAAGAAAAGGGGTCTTGAACCAACAGATCATGGAGAATTTGCTCTAAATTTTCACCAACCTGAATTCAACAGACTACATACAACTGCAGCTAGGGAGCGGGAACCAGATGTGCTCTTTTGGGGGGGGGGGGGGGGGGCAGTGGTTCCTTCCTCCCGCCCTTTCTTTTCCCCTCTAGGCTTTGGCTCTTCGCCCCAAGAGAAGATACGGTAATTATCTGAAATGTCCGCGTACAGAGTTTTGCTTGTTTGTTTTTTTCTCTAGGACAATTTCCGATCAGAACCCCTGTTATGTGAACAGATGTTAATGGATTATTGGAAGCAATGTGGTTTGTCAGTATCTAAGGCAGGATTGCTCTTTGGTTGAAACAATTGCCTACGTCCTCCTCTCCCTTGTTTCCCCACGTCCTTACCCACCCATTGAAAAAGGGACAGGACACACTATAGCGGACACATATATACGCCGACATTCATGTGCACACCCTTCTAAGAACTCCAGCCCAGACAAACTGCAAGCTCCGTGCGGGGCTACACAGATGCGTGCGCCACCATCCCTACCCCCTACTCTTCCCCTCCCCTTCCCCTCCCCAGCACAAGCATAATCACAAAGGGTGCATGACCGCGAATTGTATAAATCATTCCATAGCTTTTTTCCTTGGAACACAAAGTTGGTTGTTATTGTGCTTTTCCCCCACGTCACTTGGAGCTCTGAGTCAAGATTTTTTTGCGTTAAAAACACACATACACATTCATAAACGTCTCCATGGACAAGTCATCACGCTCACACATTGACTCAGACGCACACTTTCTCCCTTCTCTTTCTTCCTCGCAAGGGTTTTACAGACTAGGACTAACGTCCAGACAAACCTTCTGACATTCAAATATGCCTTGCCCATGCTGTGATGACCTCACAAACATACCCCACACCCAAGCTGATCACTTACAGAGTTGTGTTTGTTTGGTTGGTTGTTTTCTTAAATCAGTGTGTGGCTACACTACACACACACCTCCAATCTCCTTCCCTTTCAACATATGCACACACCTGGGACCACTATCCCTCAGATGTTGTGAGGGCCCCCTATGTCTGCATGTGCCTCAAGCTAAAATCAAAAATTTGCTCAAATACAGGGTAAGGGAAGTAGTCTGCACCTGTTTCAGGACTCCAGGCTCCACTGAGTTCTCATTCAGCATTTGAAGTCCTAGTTCATCTCCAATTGTAAATAAGATGAATCCAGGCACAGTAGACCACATCTGTTGGGACCTGCAAAACCATGGTAGCAGACAATGGGTCACAGAAAAGGAGAAAAAGAAACTTGCGATTTTGATTGAGGGATGGGGAGAGGAGTGTTCATTGGAAAAAGGTAGGGAAGCTTTGAATGAATTTTGAAATGGGGGTTCAATGGAGAGGAGAAAGGCAGGAAAAGAAATGGATAGGAGAGAACAACTGGGGAGAGGGCAGGGTGGGTAGCAATCTTTCTATTCAACTATATACATAAACTGTAATCAAGAGAAGGTTCAATCATCTGGGCTGCACCAAATGATACCTATATTCTCTTTCACCTCAGATTTGTGAAAGCACCTTCAATGCATGCTAGAAACCAGGGACACACATAAACACAATCAACTCATTTGTATATGGACGTGTTCATGACAGCACAGGTAGCAAGAGCTGGCCCTCCTCTACCCAGTGACAGATTTCTAGTTCAGTATATCAGTTTACTCTTGGCTCTTGAATAAACAAAGCAAACATATGTCACATATTCCTGACAGATGGTCCAAACCAAAGGCTACTTAAATCCTTTTTCTCTACCGTTGTTACAGTGTCTGGGTTCCCCTGTAGAATCAGGAGAAATGTAATTAGGTGCAAAACTTCTGCTACACAATCAGTTCCTCCAACTTTCACAACAGTAATGATTTGCAAGGTAGGCAAATGACTTCAAATATTCTACATTTGGGGGGAGGGGGGAATCATAGAAATTCTTTAGGTGGATTTAATTAGCCAGAGGCTGGAAAGGACAGAGGAATGTTTTCTGTATGGAGCTATTATGAAGAGCTAACTTCATGATCCGGATTAAAACCTTTTTTTCCCTGGACACTAGTCAGTCAATAAACATTTATTAAGCATATACTGTGCACCAGAAGCTGTGTTAAATCCTGGGGATACAAAAAAAGTTAAAAGACTTCCCTGCCCTCAAGGAGCTTACAATCTAAGAGGAAATTCCAAAATCATAAAAGCCCCCTTTCTTCATTTTCAATTTATATCAGAAAGGTTAGAACATTGCACCTGGACTCAGGAAGACCTGGGTTCAAACTACTAAGCAGACACTTAGTCACTTAACTGCCCCATTCCTTAGTTTCCTCATCTGTAAAATGAAAGGGGATGTACTCCATGGCCCTTCCAGATCTGACTCTATGATCTTGAGATTTCATGACCAAGATCCAGGTGATGAAAAAAAAAATGTTTTCTTAATTTTGACTATTTGGAACTGTATCTCTAAAGTCTCATTTAAAGACATCAGCACCAAACCCTCTATTTAGAATGCATTTAACCTTAATCCACTGAGAAACAGTACTGTAAAGCACTGATAAAAGAGCTTAGAGTACAGAAAGACCTAAACTGAAGTCCTGCTTCTGACACAGTCAGTATGCTACCATGAGCAAGTCACTTAATGTCTTAGTGCCCCCAGGTTCCTAAAACTATTATAGACAAGTTGCTGAAATGCTTCAGGGAAGGGAGTTTTACACTCTGCCCCAATGAGAACTCATGTATAGACTTAAAAAAAATTAATATATATTATCCTTTCCCTTATCCACTCATAGGTCATGAAAGTTCCTTAAATATAGGGAAGGCAACTTCTCCTTCCCTTAAAATCTCAGTTGTTCCTTGAAAGACATGGATCTACTCATACAGTATAGATGCTTAGTGGAGCGTGAAAGCAAAACTTTGTAAATAGCCTTTTATAAAGAACCAGCTTGCACAGAGTTTGCACTTCTTAATTGGTACTATGAAAATAAAGTCAATCAAAATATTCATAGATGAATGACTATTATTTCAACTTTAACCAGTCTGAGCCTCAGTTTCCTCATTTATAAAACGAGGGTATTGAGCTAGGTAATCTGCAAGGTTTTTAGATTGTATGCACAAACCATTTATCAAAGCTGATCTCCTGAAGAGTTCTGTGAACTGAAAGATTTGGATTCTCCTCTTGACCAAGACTTGTTGAATAAGCTTATCAAATTATTTTGTTAGAAGCATAACCACTAACTTCTAGGAATGAAGTGAGCATAACAGCTATAAAACACTTAGAATCTCTGGGATAAAAATGAAAGGTATTATTAATATTATCTTGGTTTCCTTGGTGCTTATCTACTCTCCTGTTTATTCAGCTGAACTAAGGATGAAAGGTGACATAAATACCAAATATTATTAGGCATTATAAATGTTAGTGCCATCCTCCCTAGCATTTCTGTTTTCTCTACAGGAAATTGGTTTTAATGTTTCAAAATTAGGTTTAATTCACACGGAACATGTGTTATATATTTCTATGAGTCAAGCAATTTTCTTATATCCATAGATGTGTGTGGATTTATTAGAAATAATCTATTCTATAGGTAGCATTTTTGTCTATTATTACCACAATAACAGCTCCAATAATAGTTACATGATCTGTGTGTATGAAGTTTCAGTGTTTCTGAAATAATTATTTATGGAATCAGAAACTGAAAAGGACTTTAAGGAAAAATCTAATTCAAAACCTTCCTTTTACAAATAATACAACAAAGTCCAAGTGACTTGCCCAGGGTCACTCAGGTAATAGGAGAGAGAGTTTTGATTCAATCACATCTCCTACATGCAAAGTAAAACAAGCAATATCAGGAGAACATTTTACATAGTAACAGCAATATTGTAAGGATGATCAACTGTGAAAGACTTAGCTATGCTGATCAAGACAGTGATCCAAGAGAATTCCAAAAGACCTATGATGAAAAATGCTATGCAGAGAACTGAAGAATTCTAAATGCAGGTTGAAGCATACTTTTTAAAACTTTTTTAAAATTTGTCCTGTTTTTTTGTGTCTCTGTTTTATTTTGCAACACGGCTAATATGGAAATATGTTTTGCATGACTTCACATATGTAATTTACATCAAATTGCTTGCCTTCTCAAAGAGGGGGGAATGGTAGGGAGGGATAAAATTTAGAACTCAAAATTTTAAAAAAGTGATTGTTTAAAAGTTTATTACATATAATTGGAAAAATATTTAACTGTGTGTGTGT